GACACTGCTGACGATGATGGCCCTTGAAGGTGCATGAGTGGCCGCCGACACTGGACCTGTCTCGATTTTTCTGCAGATTTCTTTTCTTTTTCCTTCCTTTTCTCAATTGCAGCCCAGCAATCGTCCAGGTGGCAGGCAGGGGCCCCTGCGGCAGGGACGGGGACGAGATCGCGGACGAAACTGGCAGCCGCCTCCCTCATTGTTCATGTTGGCTTCCTTGCTTCAGCCGGAGTCGGGTGAGGTACGGGTACTCGTAGGTTATTGAGAGGTGCGTGTGGTTGGTCCCGAGGATGAGGATGTGGCGCGTGTTCGTACGAGAGGAGATGGCCCAGGTCCAGGTCCAGGTCCGAGAAGGAAAGAAAAAAAAAAGACACGGACGGTCTCAATCCACGCCCCCTTCTCACTTCCTTCTATGCCTGCCTTAATGTAGGTAGGTACCTCAGGAAGGTACCTGCCTCCGCGACCTGCCTATCTTAATTACATGGCAAGTACGGATACCTTACTCAGGAACAAGCACTCGCGGGCAGTTGAAGTCGGTTTCCATGCCCATACCCGACTTCATACGTGCCTACCTACCTAGGTACTCTAAGGTAGGTAGGTAGGTAGGTAGGCGTACCGGCCTCACCCCTTCGTCCGCCACAAACCCGGGCGAGTGGTTAGGTGCTGACCGTTTGGGAAACTGCCCTGTCCGGCTGAATTTCCATTGTCATCTCGCTGTTTAGATTCCCATCCTCCTCCGGTGCAGCATCTCACCTTAACTTTACCCACTCACTCTCAACGGGCCAATGGCCTCCCTGCCGGCGTTGGCTCCGATGAAGACCGCGGGCACGTCCCTGCACCACACCCGCATCGCGGCGCACGGCATCTAATACGTCTACAGGCAAGGCAGGCAAGGTACTGCTGGCTGGGCTGTACTTTAGAGACCACGGACGCGGTGAGCCATGGCCAGACGGTGCCCCATTCCATGGACTGGGCAACCGCCCGTGCTCACCTACCCGTACCTGTTCCTGCCCATATTGACTTTACCTTAGGTACGGTACTTGCTCGTACTACAAACCATCTATCGTCAAGGCGGCTTCTTTCTTCCTCTGTCTGGAGCATTTTTTGGGAAGAATCAGCAGGCCCGGGGCTAGGCTCGATATTGACTCTTACGCGCCTAAGTCCCCGAGTCGATGCCACCTTACTATCCGTACTTTCCTGCCATCTCATGACCATGGCCACCTCCACGTCCACGTCTCGAACCGCCTCCGCCGAGCGGCTGACGGGATGTCACCACCCAGATATTGCACATAACGACCCATATTTTCTTCGGCTTTGCCCCGACCTGAGATGTTCTAGCTCTGGCCTGTGTGCCTGTTTCTCTCTGTCTGACCTGGTTCCTCGAACTCGGGCTCCCCTCTGCCCCTTCTGATCGGAATGCCCTGCCTTCAAGTCTATCATCTCGTCAAGGTCGTCTTGTCTTGCATTCCTCGACGTCTTGGCTAACCAAGTAGCTTGTCCAAGTCGGTGGCATTACCCGCCATCGTCAACCCAAGAGCTGAGGCACCTAGTGTTCGCTTCCGCTTGTATCATTATCCACCTTCACTTGACAACGGATGGATGTCCATCCTCTCACCGTTCATAACGAGCACAAGCAACACACCAGCATCGCATCGCATCCTTACCGCCAACTGTGGGCTCCACCTCCACTCTTCCGTGCCATCATCTCGTCCGATGTTGACGACGACGGACAAGCCGGCGCAAACACTATTTCCACACTCTCACCAACACCACCTCAGATCAGACCCTGAGAAAGCCGGCGCCGCCCCTGCCCCTCGCGCCAATCATCAGCCGGTCACCCCCAGACACCTTACCCACACGCCTCCCAGTCCAGTCCAGTCCCCTAGTCTGGTTGCTGCCGTCACCGAGTCCTCCCATCCCCGTCCCCCGTCCCCCGTCCCCCATCCCATCTTTGTCCAACTCTCACGCCTCCCTGGCGAAACACCCATTGCGCGCACACTCGGTCAAGCAAAAGTCATGAAGCCTTACCTGACCTGCGCCAACGACTAACCTCCCACAACCTCACCTTAGCCACTTCCCACTTATTTAGCTACACTATCAACGGGATGGCAACGCGCTATCCCAAACCTACCGGCCAGCCTACCGACCGGTCTACCGTGCCTTGGTGCTTGGCTGATACCTATTCTTTTTGATTCCTGACTACTTGCGAGACGTCCGCCGACTAGATTGGCCGCATCTCTCACACCTGTCCGCACCGCACCTCTTGTCTATGTGTACTTTCCTCAGCTGATTTTCTCACCCACGGACTGAGTGGGAAGTGGACGGGAAGCGGTAGCGGTACACAGGCACACACACTACACACACGCAGCACAGCACATCACAGCACAGCACACACACACACACATACATCGCGTCCACCGACTCGCCTTCTTTTTTTTTCTTTCTTCTGGTGGTATGCATGTGAGTGTGTGTGTGTCTTCTGCCCTCTCCTGCCTCACCGGATTGGCGTGCCGTGGGTGCAGACGCGATCTCAATCAACCCAAGGAGCGGTACGGTACGGTACGGTGACCTGGTCACTTTTTTTTTTCTGATGTAGGTACCCTCTCTCGGTTCTGCCCCTGCTGCAGTTAGTAGCGTGTACAGAGGTACCCTCCGACCTCTCTCATTCCGCTTCTCTCTTCCCTTTTTTTTTTTTTTTTTCTTTAAACCTAAGTACCTGTCCCATGGGGTGGGCGCCCCGTCCATTTTCAACGTCAAGGAGGAAGGGGGAGGGAAAAAATAACAAGGGACCATTTACACATACATAAGCCTCCGTACTCTCTGTGCACACTAGCCAGAGTATATTAAACCCATCTGGCATCCCGTCAAGATCCCGTCACCAACGTCTCCTCTTGTCCGCTGTCCGCCTCTCCCGTTCTCTCCAAGCGGAAGAGAAAAAAAAGACACAGCCCCTGGTCCGAGTAAGGTACCGTACCCTTATTCAGTTGGCTGCCGTCTTTGCTTCTCCGACTCCATCTATATGCATGTCGGGCTCCGCATGTGGTCCTGCTCCTCCTTCTCCTCCTCGTCCCGCATGTCGTCCTTGCCTGATCCGCGTCAGATCTGTGCCTCCAACCATACTTCTCTCAAATTCTCTACCAACTCTGAGTCGTTTCAGGGCCTGAAGACACATCGCAACCGCCACTTGCAGCCTCATCGGACATCGTGTTATTAGACACTTCCACACGTGAGGTTGCAGGATTGGGCCGCTCTGCTATCTGTCTTCCCGACTCGGTCTCATTCTGACGCTTTAGTCGTTTGTCCCGAACCCGTCTACCCACCCTCGTCGCCCCGTCTGTCATTCGTTATTTGACGTCTCTTGACCCGGCCGACACACAACCGACGAGCCGATCAGAAAAAAATCGAACTCCGAATCCCTCTCGGTACTCTGCCACGAATCATCAGCAGCATCCTGCCCCGAGACCTCATGGCCTACCATCACTCAAGCGGCTCATCCGCTGGCTCATCGTCGTTCCAGTTCCAGTATGCACAGGTAGGCCACTCTTTCACCGGGCATCCAGGTGCACCGCAGCTCAACGGGCCTCCTCTGCAGCCGTTCCAAGAGTCTCAATTCGACATCTTCGAGTGGTATCCCAAGTTCCAGTCTTGCCTACACTATTTTCTGGACCACGCCCAGTACACAGGGCCCATTCAGGCAGTGGCTGCCTTCGTCAACATCCAGCTGCCCTTTCAGAAGCCGCAAAACCCGGTCCTCTCTTCAAAGCAGACCGGGCCCTCATCCCCTGGCGGGCCCGGGCCTTCAACCCCGTCTACCGCCCGGGCAGCTGGGAAGTTGCCGCTTGGTGCCCAGTTACCGTCAGCCACCTACACGACACTGACGCCGTACGTTCGCCGACTGGTGGCCACCGGCTTCGACTATCCCGCCGTGTTACACGGCTTCTTTGGCGACGACTGGATGGCCGGCATTGGGCCCATGCACGAAGCCGAGCGTCGCAACTACATGTTCGCAGCCAAGAGCGAAACTTGGCTCAAAGTCAAGACGCATTACGACATGGACGGCGAGCAGCAGGTCCCCTTCCTCAGACCCCTGCAAAACGTCACCGAGAAGGAGATCCAAGGCGCAGAGTCCAGCTGGAGCGAGTGGCTGGCCATGCAGGATTGGATGCTGGGTCCGCGAGCCCCTGACCAAGGACCGAGGATCAAAGTAGAGGACGAATAGACGGGCGCGGACAGACTCTCCTCTCCTACCACACGATGGCCGCAGAAGCGTACGAATCGATGTACTCACACGACGGAGCGGCAACTTTGCATTTACGGCTTGCTCGCAGATGGAGAAACGGCGTTACTTGGCTACTCTTTTTCATGGGTTCTTTGCGGACGGCGGTAAATACCGAACACTTGTACGATGTCAAGATGCAGGGGAACATCTCGACGAGGGGGCTAGACGTTCCTGGAAAAAAGACGGGAGGTTTGCGTTTGTTTCTGCGCGTCGTCCATCCATCTTGTTCAGGATGCTGTAAAGTACGAACCACGGTGCCTGGCATAGGGTTTTTGATTGTTTGTTATTTTGGCGGCGGCATTTGTCCTTTTACTTATGATTCCCTTCATCCGTCGATAGAGGTACGCTTTTCAGGCCAGCGGGACGAGTTATCTAGTTACAAGACATATGATAATGTGAAGTATGATTATATCCCAACTTGCTCGACTTGGCACCATTCGAGAACCTCTCACGACATGCATGTCTTGAGGCCCTCAGAGACATGCTTCGTCCACGCACTGTCGTCCATCCCACCTCGTGGACACGACGATTCAGATGATCACACAGAGACACATGGCCAGGGTCTTTCGAACGAGTGAGACAGACGCAGAAACACAAGTCGTCGAACACTCGTGGTGATGTCTTTCCATTCCCATATTTGCTTTTTGATTACCATGAATTCTATCATTTTCCTCGCCATCTAAGATTCGGGGTATGATTAACAAAACAACTGCAGCGACGACTATTTCTTCTTCTTGGCTATCCTCTTCTGCGCCCTCAGATCCTTCTTCATTCTCGAGTCCACAATGGTGTAGCGTCCCTTGACGCCTTTGGGACGACCCTTGACACCACGGTTGACACCTGCAGCAGCATGTTAGCGACGCAATTTCTACGGAATCTTTGAAGAAAAACTCACCCTTGGCAATGACGAGCGTCGGCTTGGGCCTGCGCTTCACCTTGCCGGCCTTGGCCATCATCTTGGCGATGCTCTCAGCCTTCTCCTTCTCCGTCATGCCCTCCTCGTTGGCGAGCAGGTCCGACTTCTTCTTGAGCTTCTCCAGGCGCTGCGCGGCCTTGAACTTCTTGCGCGCCTTGGCCTCGCGCACCTTCTTGATCGGGCGCGCGTTGTACGCGCGCAGCTTCTCGCGGATAGCCGCCGCCGCCGCCTTGGTGATGGGCTTGTGCGGCTTGTCGTGCCGGCCCTCGTCGTCGATGAACCAGTCCGGCAGCCCGTCGCGGTCCTTGAGCGCGTGCTTGTTGAAGCCGTCGTCGATGACGTCGTGCTTCGTCTTTTGGCCTGTCGCGAGCTGGTGCGCGAGCGTCATTGCCTCGGCGGTGATGATGTCGATGTCTGGCGGGGGGTTAGCATGAGTTCTGGGGGAGGGGTGATGTGAGAGAGAGCTTACCTAGTCTGCCGTCCGCCTTGCGCTTCTCCTGGTTCTCCCAGTCCTCCTCGTTGTGCTTGACAACCTCGAAACCGCCGTCGTCCTCGCTCTCGCTGGACTCGTCCTCCTCTTCCTTCTCAACAGTCTTCTGGTCCTCCCTGGCCTTCTTCTCGTCCTTGGCCTTTTGAGCCTTGGACTCCTTTTTGGCCTTCTTAGAAGGCCTGGCCTCCTCCTCACCGGAGTCGGCTCCGTTGGTGTACTCGACGCCGTCCATGCCGTCATCTTCGGGCTCGTCAAGAACACCAGGAATATCCTTGAAGATGTCCTGGCTGAAGAAATTCCTCGCGCGCTTCGACAGGTCGCCGTCCTCCGCGGTGTTGTCCAAGTCGGTGACGAGTGGCTTGTCGCCGTCGTCCTCGTCGTCGTCAGACTCGTCGTCGCTGCCCGATTCGATTTCAAACTCCTCATCGCTGTCACTCTGCTCGTCGGCTGAGACACCCTCCCACTCCTCGTCGTTGTGCTCCTCACGCGCGCGCTTGGCCCGCCATTTGGCATCCGCTGCCGACTTGCGCTCCTTCCACTGGTCGTACATGCCGTCCAGCTCGCGCTCGAGGCGGTCCTCGGCCTCGTCTTCGCTGTCGTTGTCGGACCCGTACGAGATTCCGGAATCCTGCTCCTGCTTCTTCTTCTCGTTCTCCTTGAGGATGGCCATCCTACCCTTGGCGATCTTGTTCACGCCGCCGGCCTTGTCGACCGTCTTGAGCGCGAACATGGAGTCCGGGCCGAGGGGTCCGGACTGCTCCATACCGATATCCATGGGCGCCACCATGTTAAGCTGCATGCGCACGATGTCCTTCTGCTTCTTCTCGTTCTCTTTCCTCCTCTCCTTCCTCTTCTTGGAGTCGTCCTTGTTCTTGAGCGCCTCCAGCTCCTCCTGAATCCGAAGCTCCTCGTCCATGTCCTCGACCTCGGCCACCTCCTCGCCAGCGACCTGCTCCTGCAGAGACTTGGCCTTCTCCGTCTTCTTGGTGGGGAAGCCAAAGATCTCGCGGACCTTGAGACGCCACTTGAGCAGCATCTTGAACTCTTTTCTTCCGAGAACCTTCAAATCGGCGCAGCACCTGCGGATCTCCTCGTTGGTCTCAGGGAGCTTGTCCAGAGCCGCCAGCGCAACGTCGCCGTTGTTCGGCTGGTCGAACGACAGCTGGTTCGCGCTGCCGAGGATCGCAATCGGGTCAACCGTCTGGATGAACTCGCTGGCCGAGACGGCCTTGAACTGCGTGTAGTCGCCCTCCTCGTAACCCTCACGCTTGCGCTTCTTCACCTCGGGGTTGTAAACCTTGGCCTCGTTGTTCGGCGCCGCGTCCTTCAGCTCGGCGAAGACGGCACGGGGGTCGAGGAACCGGGGGTCGATGCGCTTGGGCGCCTTGTAGCCCTTGCAGACGACGAAGATCTCGGCAGACACGTTTCTCGACGACGGCGGCTTGGTGGCCTCGACCTTTGTGAAGAGCTGGTTGAACACCCACAGCAGCGGGTTGTAGTCCTTGGAGCGGAAGACCTTGGTCACGAACGTGCCGCCCTCGACCAGGAACTCCGTCGCCAGCTTCATGGACTGCAACACCAGCTCGGCCTGGTTGAAGGAGTCCTGGTTCCAAGCGGTACCGACGTTGGGCGCACCATCGTGGAGGACACAGTCGGCCTTCCAGGTCTTGAGGTGCGAGCGGATCGTGGCTCGGCATTTTTCGGTGGTGATATCGCTCTGGAAGGTAATGACCTTGGGGATCGGCTTGATGGGGGCTAAATCGACACCGACGATCAACGCGCCGACGGGACATGTCTCGGCTGCGACTTGACACCACGACTAGACATGCGCTTGTTAGATACTGCAAGCAACAATGACATTCGAACATGTTTTTTCTTGCGAAAACAAACTTACGCCTGGCGCAGCGCAAAGATCGACGACGACCCTGCTCTTCTCCAAGAAGCCATACTTCTTGTTCAGCTGGATCAGCTTGAACGCAGCTCTGGCACGGTATCCCTTCTCCTTGGCAAGCTTGTACCACTTATCCAAACGTCCTTTTCCGTGCTTCTTCTGAATCGCCATCTTGTCGAACGGGGCGGCGACGGCGGAACTAGAGAGAAATCCAAACTTTTGGGCGTACCGTCCGTCCGCTTCGCTCTGCAGTGAAGAAACCGACCCTTGAAAAAAGGCCCCCGCCGCTTGAATGGCCAAAAATTCTCGAAATTTTTGAGACCCGATAACGGTCACGTGGAGATAATGCGAGCGAGGTGGGTCTTCCCTGGCCTGGAGCTTTGACATGCGGGCCCTTCTCATCTGATTGGACCCGCGAATCCGGAGTGGGAAACCACCCAAAAATCAATTAAACAGGAACCCCGGCCAGGGGTGGGTCTTCCGCGTCGACACGCGCGCGCGCGACACCATCGCGCGTTGAGGGTACATTTTGGTGGTTGAATCTGGTAAAGACCCGACGTCAGACACGAGCTCGCCTCCTCCGCCCCATCCCTCAGGCCCTGCCATTCACCACCCCAGCACACAGTCAATCCCACGATTGAAGCTTTCTTCCCTAGACTCTGAACGACAGATTTTACGCTGGAAACACACTCTTTTTTGTCCGTTGTTTGTTTACTTTAAACGTTTACCGACGACTTACACGAAAAGCCTAATAAATCCACATTCGTCATGGTTTACCACGGCGGCATGGCCAGCCCGCCGCCGAGCGATGGCCTCGTCCCCGCCTCCTCGCCCACGCTTCCCTCATCACCACCCCCGCGAAACATTCGAAAGGAGAAACGCAAGGCCATCCTGACGCCTCGGAAGTTCACGCGGTTCTTCACACCGCGCGGCACGTCCTCTCAGAGCTCGAGGCCGGTCCTCGCCGAGATGGGCGGGCCTGCGATTAACGTACAGCAGACGCCACCACGATCCAGTCTGGGAGCTCCGGAACTGATCTCACCGACGTCAAATTCGAGCCTGCTGTCGCCGTTTGGTAGCGAGGACGGGCCAAAAAAGAGGAAGAGGGGCGTTGTTCATGCGATTCCCATGAAGCTGCCGCTGCCGGCCCGCGGATCGAGTACGAAACTGTCAAGAACACAATTGGAGGATTTGGAGGATGATGAGGCGCCCCTTGGTAGAAGTCCTCTCGCGAGGTCTCTGTTGGAGAATGTTGAAAACATGGAGGACCAGGCGATTGGTTCGCCTGATGTGCACTCTCCCACTGGCCCTGAGCTGCCGCCCCTGGGAAGAAAATATCCGACTGGACCGCAGACATCACCGGATGAGTTTGCGCGGAAGCTCAGCTCCTTGACTGCCAGCAACTTTGCGACTGCGGCATACGAGGGTCTGAGGCCAAGGTCTACCCTGGTGCGTGTAACGCTGATTCTTAAGAGATTGCACTTGCTGACTTTGATCAGATTGATTATTTCAAGTGCAACCGCGCGGGCGTTCAGGCATCTGGAAAAGGAAAGCCGCTGTCGTCTCTCACAAAGCCCCTTCAGCCTTCCAAGGAGAAATCTGTAAGTTGATTCACCCTGGCGACACGAGAGACAAGAGCTGACCGACCGCAGCCTGAACCGCCATATCACCCACAGCCTGTGATCAAACTTCGCAATCGCGGATTCGAGGCTCAACTGCTGCTTCGCGAACAGGGGAGCACCCCCCGGCCAGGTCGGCAACACCTCGAGTATCCTGCATTTGGTGAGTTTCTTCTAGGCTTCCTGGGTTCCTTTTCTAATCATACCCAGATTCACGAGCTACAACTGCATCTTTCTGGAGCAAGGGTACCGATACACACATGATCAACGCGCATCTGACTCAATCGAATACTATTCCTTTCAGTCTGGCGAGCTGTCACAGTAAGCCCCCCTCATTTATCTCGAATGCAACGAGTCTAACTTTTGCAGATGCCCCTCTTACAGCAATCGGCGATGAGGAGGGTTTCATCCGCTTCTTCGACACCACCACAACTCAAGCGGGAGAGACCCCAAAAGCCAAGGTCGACATCATCATGCAGGGCCATGAAAACGCCATCATGGACCTTGCCTTCTCAGATGATGACCTCCGCCTCGTGAGCGCCTGTGGCGACCGCTCCGGCAAGATCTTCGACGTCATGACCCAGTCCGTCGCCGCCGAGCTCAACGGTGGTCACTTCCAGTCAATGCGCCGCGTCGAGTTCCAACCAGGGAGGGCGAATGGAAGCGTAATAGCAACGTCCGACCGAGACGGCAAAATTCAAATCTGGGACCTCCGCTGCTGCGCCGCCCCGGCCGCCGCCTTCTCCACTCGCGGCCCGGAAGGCGTCTTCCACAGGAACCGCGGCCTCTCGCCCCTCTGGGCGCGAACAACGAACACCATCGACGGCGCCCACGCCCGAACCGTCGAGGGTATCACGTCGCCCGCGTCGGTCACGGCCCTGCAGTACATGCCCCCGGGCCGCGAGCACCTCCTCCTGTCCGCCTCCGAAGCAAATGCCTGCATCAAGCTCTGGGACACCCGCTACATCACCCCCCGGAACCGCCCCGACGCAACTCCCCTGGCGGTGACTGCCGAGCCCGCAACCCACCGATGGCGCCCCTACGGCCTCACCTCGCTCGCCCTCAGCAGCGACGCCGCCCGCTTATACGCCGTCTGCAAGGACAACACTGTCTACGCCTACTCCACCTCCCACCTCATGCTCGGCCACGCTCCAGAACTCTCCGACCGTCCTCCGCGTCAGAAGGCCGGCACAGCCGCGCAAGGTCTCGGGCCCCTGTACGGCTTCAAGCACGACATGTTCCACGTCAAGTCGTTCTACGTGCGCTGCGCCGTCCGCCCCGTCTCTATCACCGGTACTGAACTCCTGGCTGTCGGAAGCGATAAGTGCGCCCTCCTCTTCCCGACCGACGAGCGCGCGATGAGAGAGCACTGGGACACCCAGAGCCACCTCCCGGCCGCTGCCGAGCCCACAACTGCCGCCGCCGGCGGCAATTCCAAAGCGATGACCGGCCAGGTGCCTATCGTCAGAAACGGCACGCCCCTGATCCGCGGTCACCGCCGTGAAGTCACGGGGCTGAGCTGGACCAACGAGGGCAAGCTCGTCACCATCTCGGACGACTACATGGCGCGGCACTGGCAAGAGGGCGATGACAACAGCGTCGACGCCGCCAACGGGTGCGGTCCGGCGTGGGATCTCCGCACGGGCGGGGAGTTTGGCGGAAGACGGCACATGTCGGGGTATGCCGACGTCTCAGAGGACTGGGACATGGACGACGACATGCATTCTGAATGCTGAGCGAGCGGCGCGCTTGACCCTTTTGACTCATGACACTTACGAAGGATGGATGGGTGATGGGTTACTCACCACGCCACGAGAGGAGAGGAAAAGTTTTCTGGCTTTTGTACACACGTTGCATGCGTTTTTTTATTGGGTGCATTCCAGGACACCGCAGGTTTGGCATTGGCATCGGCATTGGCATTAGGAGTACACTAGAGATACCTTTGGTTCTGTTTGTCTTTTATTTCTTCGGTAGACGACGTCGTGGCATCGTTGGCAATTATAATGAGACAACGTCACGACAATTTGTGGAAGATGTGAGATGATGTGCGTGATGGCTAGTGAGCAGACCTCTCACGGAAGGTGTTGCTGGCTGTTGCTGTTGTCGGGAATATATAGGGGCGTGTTAATGACACCAATTCAAAGAAACAAAGAAGAATGTCCCGAGGGGGAGAAAAGAATGGTTGCAGAAGAAGAGAATGGCAAAAGGATCAACTCGAACCCTCAAGCTCCCACGGGAGGACCGTAGTCACCAGGGCGCCGCGCATTGCGCTTGTCCTGACCACTGGGCCACTTGTCCACCTAGGGTGCTTGCTGGCTGATGAATGAGACTTCGTCAAGTACCCCGTTTGGGAGTAGTAGGGTGAGATGATGTACACGCTTTACAGAATACGCGAATACGTAGGTTATGAGGATACTTGATTCGTCACCGGCGCTCATCTGGCGCCTGACTATCTGAATCTGCTCCACCCATCCGCCGTTGACACATGTCTGACGAAAACCCGCCAGACCAAAACTCCAGAAAGCAACTAGGGGGGTATCGTGTATCTAGCCCATGTGGTATCCTGAATAAGAACGCTCCTGAACGCCAAGCTCGTCATGCTATGCATCGTCATAATGTCATCTTATCGCCCTCCACCGGTAAACCCTTATCTATAGGTCTCGTAGCAAAGAAATATATACCCACGATTGCCACTAGGACCGCCACAAGAACAATGTTGGAAAATAGAGCGGTAGACGAACGTGAGCCGGTTAAAGATTTGACCATGGGCAACTGTGAAGTAGCCGCACCGTGTGTCGAGGGCGTCTTGCCGGTGCCTTTCCGGTCAGGAATCGGTAGCTTCGCATCGAACTTCATAGATCCAGACGCTGGGCAACCGGCTGGCGCGTAGCCCTCCAAGTTGCCTGCGCCAAAGATCTCTCCCATTTCGGACTTTTGCTGTCTTGCGTGCTTGCAAAGCCAAGTGTTCGACCTTTCGCCATCCCCCGACTCTCTTTCAGATGCCTGCGCTCTTCTCTCGCGGGCCACCACTACGCTGTCACGCAGACGGTGACCAGAGCCAAGTGGTGCCCAGGAACCCATGCCAGCCACATCATCCAACCTTGTATCGCACACGTTGTCCAGTTGGCTGACGAGAAGCAGCATGTTGTCAAAGATGCAAATGGCCTCTTGAATGATGTCGTGCCTTTCCCGCGGCGTAAACTGTGCCTCGGATTCTGCAAGGCGTTTCTTAAACTCCTTTTTGAGATCCTCCCCGTCGAGAACAGTGGCGAAGTGAAAGAAGCTCAGTGGAAGCGTGTGCCGCGCATGCTTTGCCCCGATTTCCAGCGTTCCAGGCTCGCCTCGCAAAAGATCAATAGGTCTTGTAGGAATGGCTCCAAGGGGATCGATCTCTTTTGGTTGCCGTGGTTGACAATTCGTTCCGAGAGGCGGAATCGGCGATGGCACTTGCTCCCAAAAGTCAGAACCTGCAGACTCGAGCGTGGCCCTGATGAACCTTCCACCGGCGAATAGTGCCATGAACAGGATATAGGAGTACGAGAGCACGGTGTG